ATAAACAACTATCAACTAGCATAAGTACTAACTATACTTTTTGTTGTTATTTTAGAATGTATTCCCTGTACTTATAAACGGAAAGAAAAGGTAGACTGTAAAGTAGCCTCGGGGGGCACCTGGGAGGTGCGGTAGAAGTAGAAGGCCTTGTCATAACAGGTGATGACAACCCTGTGAGTGTCAGTGATGAAGGTGGACAATGGTGACATTGAGGGTCCCGAGCCTGTGTAGGGCTAGTATAATATGCGTGTTTGTATCTCTGTTTTTAACTAAATAAGTAATAAATAATTAAAAGTATTAAAATTAGAAATATGAAAAACTTCTAGAATAAAGAAATAGCTATACAATATGTTTGTACTTTAAGCTCAGGATTAAAGGGCTTAAAGTTAAAAGAAATTTAAAAGCTTATAAAGTAAAAGAGTTACAAAGCTGGAATGTGTGTTATTTTGGCAAACTGTGGTGTGTTGTTGGGGCTCACTGGAAACCTGGCTCTGCCAGCAGAGTTGCCCCTCCCCATCTCAGACCCAATGTTTGTTTCAAAGTGTCCTCTGAGGTCCCTTGTCTAGGCATAGGCTGAGCCCCTAATTCTCTGTCGGGAAGGGAAAAGAACAGCAAAACAGCCCAAGAGTAAAGCCAGGTAGAAGGAGAACCATTTTGCAACAGATGTTACTACTGTTTGTCCCATGACATCAAACAAGCTCCAGCAGGAAGAGAAGCTAGGGCCCTGGGAAGCTCATCACTGATGACAGCAGAGAGGACCTGCCCCAAAGGGGAACTTGGGGTGACTACTTCAGTTCCTCCGAGATTGCTACTGGATGCTGTGAGTGTCAGATTGGGTGATGTTATCTCTACCTGTTGTCTGTTCCTTGTTTTACTTGGAAGCCTCCCCCAAGAGGACACTGTGTCTGGGACTCTCTCCATCTAGAACTCCAGCTACTGCTCTACGGACGCTTTCCCGGAGCTTCTGATGAACATTTATTAGCCCTTGATTTTTTGATGTTACCTTTCTGCTCTTATTTGTTCTTTTCCTTGGAGACCTCACCAAAGAGACTTCCGTTGTAGAATACTATTTTAATTATGTAACTATATTTGTTTATGCTGCAGAATACTACTTTAACTGTGTAAAGGTGTGTTACTTTTGTTTATGCTGCATTTGTTTAACGATGTAAGGATGCGTGTTTTATTATGTAAATTATTACATAAAATTAGGTTGCATCTGTTTCACTTTGCCTGACTAAGGCACCTGATTATCTAATAAAGAGCTGAACAGCCAATAGCTGGGCAGGAGAAAGGATAGGCGGGGCTGCCAGGCAGAGAGAATAAATAGGAGAAATCTAGGCTCGAGAACAATGAGAGAAGGAAGAGAGAACAAGGGAGATGCCTGAGGCAAGAAGCCAGGCAGACAGACGCCAGACAGACAGACAGACATAGGGAAGCAGTGAAAGTAAGAAATACAGAAAGAAGAAAGGTAATAAGCCCCAAGGCAAAAGGTAGACAAAGAGAAACAGGCTAATTTAAGTTAAAAGAGCTAACCAGAAACTAGCCTAAGCTAGGCCGAGCATTCATAACTAATAATAAGTCTCAGTGTTGTGATTTGGGAGCTGGTTGGTGGCCCAAAAGAAAAAGCCTGGTACAGACTTCTGTGACTGTCTCTACAAAGCTTCCCCAGCTGATTTCTGCTAGATGTGGTGAACACACTATTTGATGATGCTTTGTTACCTGTCTGTCTGTCTGTCTATGCATCTGCCTACTATCTACCTATCACTTGTTATTAATTCTTTGGCTTTGGCTTGCTATAACTTAATAAACTCGGTCATTCAAAACCAATTATATATGTATCATAGATCATTCTCCAGAACGTATAGAACATAAGCTAGGGCCAATTTATTATTGGAAGAAAAACTTTAAATAAATGTAATGTAGGTCAGGTATAAGGTGTTTACAATGTCCCCAGAAGTGGACAGTCACGTACTAGATCTTCATTTTCACTCACCTCTTTACCCACTGACTCAGGCATAGCAGTATCCACTCCTACAAGCTCACTCACGGTGAGTGCCTACATTCGGGTACCATTTAACTTTTTGTACTTTCTTTTCATCATACCTTTTCTATGTTTAGATATGTTTATATGCAGCAACGTTCACCTCTGCTGTTTCCTTCAGTATTTAGTACAGCCATATGTTTTACATGTCTGCAGCCTCAGGACAGGAGGCTATATCATGAGCCTCGGGGTCTCGAAGACTGACCCTCTAGGTTTGCATCTGCATCATCTACAGTGTTCATACAGTGGCAAAACCACCCACCAGCACATTTCTTAGAAGCCTTGTCACTAAGCAAAACATGGCTGTTTACTAGCCCTGAAGATACTATCTTTCACGGGCAAGAAGAATTCCCAAGCCTTTACCATAATTTACAAATCCCATTGTGTCATGCCTCTCACCAAGAAAAATAATTCCCATATTTTTAAATCAGTAGGCATGCTATAAACCATGAGGTTTCAGGGGAAAAAAATACTTCACAGACAACGTAAGTAGGATGGGTCTCATCTTAGAAACACTGAGATGTGATACAGACCATTTGATGATGAGAGAGAGGAGAGCAGAGATTGCCTTTCTCAGTGTCTGCTTTTATCTTTCTCCTGAGTCCAACGATTTAGTTTAGTACAACAGTATGTACAAGCATTTAAACACCAAACTGTCTAGGCTACCCGCACGAGTTACAGTCACAGATTCTTATAAGCGTGTGTGTGTGAACCCAGTGCCATTTGCCCTTCCTTCTTCACGCCCCTGGGAGTATGGAGCCAGCGGCTGGAAATTCAGCACCTTGAGCTTGGAAGCAGCTTTTTAAAGATAGAAGCGACTTGCTCAAGACGGCAGAACTGTCAGGTTGAAAGAAGGCAGACTTCTAACTGCCCCATGAGACATACCAGCACTGCCTGCACGTTCAGGCTTCTTCTAAGAGAAATGTAGGTATCTGCTTGTTTGAGCCATGGATATATACACCCCAACCTATCTTAAATGGAATACGCAGTGATTCTGTTTTCATAGTAGGAATATCTACAGACGTAGGTATTATAATCACTAGAAAGAAATAGCTCTCATAACAAGAAAGAATTTTTTCCTCTGACCTGTGCATTGTGTCTGATTAGTAACTTTCAGTCACTTACAGGCTCGGTTCATGGCCACCCCCCAAAAAAATGGATTAGGGAATTCTACAAAATCAATGGGCATCTGTACACTCCTGCTTAATTAATTAGCTGGGTCCTTCTCTCTGACTTTTGTGTTTTATCAAATTCTTTCAACAACTTCTGCAGCTGTTCTTCTTGCATTCAGATATGGAATTCAACATATGTTTAATAAATAAATTTCACACACGATGAACAGAACACATATAAGTTTTTATAATCTGAAGTCCAAAGTCTAGGAAGCATTATGATAAAAGGCCATCTAATGTCTGAAAGCAAGCCTGAACTGTAACTATTTTCTTCAGTCAGTTTTCCTGTGTAATGAAACATGTTAAACTCAAGTGCTTTTAAAAGCAAATGATAGCTGGGTGGTGGTGGTGCATGCCTTTAATCCCAGCACTTGGGAGGCAGAGCCAGGTGGATCTCTGTGAGTTTGAGGCAAGCCTGGGCTACAGAATGAGTTCCAGGAAAGGCACAAAGCTACACAGAGAAACCCTGTTTCAAAAACAAACAAAGAAAAAGAAAAAAAAGCAAATCATTCTTCCACATTCACACATTGGTGGGTTATCTGGATTTCTGCTGATTTGGCTTTAAGGTGCAGGTTGGTCCAAGTCCATACCACATGTTTCTCATTCTTATATCATATTATATCACACTATGCAGAGCACATCCTTCTCACAATAAAGTCCACACCAAGCCTTTGTCTGCATCAAATCTATTAATACCTCATTTACTAAAGTGAATACCACAGGTAAGCATGACGTCAAAAGGAAGAAAAGAATACTTTCATCCTATGGATAGTGTAGGTACTCAATATTAATATAAGAAAGCGAAGAATTGAACATGATTATTCATTGTACCACAGTTCTCAATAAAAAATCTATTAGACAAATTGGTAAATGTGGCGGTGAGTGTAGCTGACTGTGTATCGAAGCATTTCAAATGACCAGACAAAACAAATGCCAGACAATACTGAGTATACCCAATTCGAAGAACTGAAGTGTGGAGGGATTGGGGCACAGGAATGTTTGAATATTCATTAACCAGTGTGTGCAGGAGAGTAGAGGGAAGAGCCAGAGACCAGTGAAGGAGCTACATGAAAAAACTCCACTTCCATCTCAAGAGAGGAACTGAGCAACGATCGTCTGTTCAGATGAGTCTGTAGCGGCATCATCTTAACCCCTCCTTACCAAAATTCTATCATTACTGACATAGAGAGATCTCTTACTGTTCTTCCAGAGGTTCAATTCCCAGCTGACACATGGTAGCTTACAACCATACGTGACTTCAGTTTCAAGGGAGCAGTGTCCTTTTCTGGCCTTTGTGGGCATGGGGAACACATATGGTGCACAGGTATACATGCAGACAAAACACCCATACACATAATTTTGTTTAATTAATAAAAACTTATCATTACTTGTTGAGAAATATTTTCCCTTTAGACTCACACCTATGATTTTTAATGAGGCTCAATTTTGTTTCATTTGTGGAAATGTATTTTGACAAAGTACATCATCACTGCTTTGAAATAGCGTAACAATGAACTGAACAGAAAACCGAGTCTTCCTAAGGGGTTCAGTAACATCCAGAGGATGACTAAGGAAGACTAGATGTCTAAGAATAGCTCCAGCTCATGGAGTGGAATTCTGTAGATGGGGAATACCATTGACAAGGCTTCAAACTTAAACTCTCTTGGTTGTTTTGGGAAATAGCTTTCCAAAAATGAACAACATAGCATTTGGATAAGACGTAACTTAGAAAATAATTATTTGAGGGCAGGTCCTTAGTTGACTGACCTAGGAAGGTCACTACGTACCAGCTTTGAGGACCGAGCTCAGGTGCATGTCTGCCCTTGAAGAAGCACAGCATGTAGCATGTCTGCATCAGCAGAAGAGGCTTCATGTGAATAGTCTCAGGGTGACATGCAGAGCATGTGAGTTCTAATTCAGGAAAGAATCAGCAGGCGTGGCTGGAGGGAGAACAAGAAATGAAGAAAGACCTTATTCTAACGTAAGTATCACCTGAAGATGTCCAGAGCCATTTGGAATTTCAGGTCGAAGAAATAACAACAAATAATGCTGAAGATGTAAACAAAAGAGAATCTTGTAACATTGCTGGTGGGAATGTAAATTAACTGAGCCAGTATGGAAGTTTTTCTAAAAACTAGAAACGGATCTACCATATGAGTGGCTCATTCCTGGGACTCCATTCCCAAAGGACTCCCCGCGAACATCTCAGAGATCCTTGAACATCAGTATTTACTGAAGCACTATTCCCAATGGCTAAGTTTTGAAACCAATACAGGTGTCCAGCAACACACAAATAGATAAAGATGTGTTGTGCATATATGAATTCTTCTAGCCATGAAGAACTAAGTTGGTCAGCTGCAAGAAAATGGATGCAATTGGAGATAATCATATTTAGTGAATTAAGCCGGTCTCAGAATGACAAATGTTGTGTTTCCTCATGTGTGCTCCCCAGATTTAACAGATGCAGAAAATCATGCATGTATGTATGACATGAATGTAGAAGTAAAACTGTCTAAGAGAACAAAAGGGAGGAAGGAGAGGGGGTGGAGCAAGAAAAAAGGGATGGGAACACAGGGGAGATGCTCAATATTCAAAATACACTTCTACGGACACTTTAGCACTTTAAAAAGAAGTTTTTAATTCATCTCTTCCTGGCAGTTGAAAGGACAAGTCCCTGGAAGGTGGTCACGTGAGTTTAGTCATTGGGCACAGTTAGTGGAGGACATAAGCCATGCATTGGCTGACTCAGGGCTTCACCATGTGAGTAAGCTCAGGGATGTTACTGCTCTTTGCCATGCACTTGCCCCAGACAGATCTAATGCTGATGAACTTCATGCCAGGGATCTGCTTCCCCACACAAAACTAACTTGGAGTTTGGAAGATGAACGCATTGCAATCATTTTCCTTCTAAGCAAGGGACCTGCATTTTAGAACTTCTGTTAATTCATCATGGGCGATGCTGTTAAAATTATTCTCTAAACCCATGTTTTCTCTAAAAGAATGTATTGTTTCTTAAATTTCTCCTTATCATGACTCAACAAGGAAGTAACCATAATTTTTATTTTCATATATGCTAAAAATATCTTACGTGGGTCATTAATGATTAATAAAACTTCTTTGTGCCAAGGACATTATAATTAACTTGGGCTTAAGATGAGTGGCCATCACAAGCTCAAATGTAGACTTTATCCATCACATACATAAAACAGTATTTGTAACAAAATGTTTTATTGTGCCAGGGTAAGATGGAATGCTAGCATATGTACAAATAAAGAATCTTGAAGTCTGCAATATGCATTATAGAAAATTGAAATAGATTAATTCTATTTAATTTATTCTATTTATTTGCATTCTATATTGATCCTTTTTAGAATTAAGAATACAGTTCTTTAAGGATACATCTTTGTATCTTTTGATTGACTACATTAAAAACTGATGCTGATCAGATGGTATGAAAACAATGAAGTGAGGAAAAACACCAAGAACATCAGTGTTCTCTTTCATTTTCTATTGGACATCATGCTACCTCTTCCAGGAAGCCCTCTAAGAATTTTCTAAATAGAATTAACTTTGTTCTCCCTTATAAATCCCATAAAATTGGATTGTATACTAACTCTGACCTTTCTAGTATTAATTATATATGTAAAATTAATATGTATCATGCAATATATATATTCCACTAGACTGTAAATTTGGGGAAACAAGTATTTATTAAACAATAATGTCAATGAGTATTATAAGTGACATTAAAACACTTGTATAATTTACATGTGACCTCCACATACATTTTCTGCTTTGTTTCTCTCCCCCCCCCCCCCCCCCCCCCCGTCTCTCTCTCCCTGTCTCTCTCTCATAAAGGCCTTAGAAGTGGTACTGGAGTGATGGCTCAGAGTTGAGTGCTTGCTGCCCTTCTGGAGCACCTAATTTGGTTTCCCAGAACCCATGTTAGCCAGCTCACAACTTCCCATAACTCCAGCTCCAGGGGATCTGACCCCCTCTTCAAGCCTCCAAGGGTACCTTTACTCATGTACACAACATCCTCCCACATACTCTTAATGAAAAATAAAAATTAAATCTTTAATAAAAAAGAGCCCCAGAAGAGTTTTGTATTCTTTTCAGCACTACATATTACATTTTCTGAAAATTTTAGGGGGCTTAATTAAAATAACTGTGTGTAGATGTGGGGTAGAATCAAAATACTTTCAAAATATTTATCTTAATATTTAACATAAACATTTATCACCTAAATACCCATGCGTATCTGTCACGGGTATTTAGGTGCCTGCAGAGACCAGCAGACTGCATCAGATCCCACAGAGCTGGAACTATAGGAGCTGTGAACTGACCAACATGGGGGCTAGACACTGAACTTGGGTCCTCTGGAGGAGCAACAAATGCTCCTAAGCCCTTAGGCCATCTCTATAGCCTCCAAATGCTCCTTTTCTATTGTTTGCTGGAGTCCTGCTCAGTACTGTACAAGTTCCATATACAATGTGTTCATTAGAAGTAAAGACAAGACCTAAGCCAGCCTTCCTCTGTTGAGGACCCAGGACCATGCCAGGTCCCGCAAGTACAATGCCAGCTTCCCACTGTTGCACGAATCCTAAATGGTCTTATAATAAAAACCTGGAGCCAGATATCAGGGTGAAAGCTGCACAATCAGAGAAGCAGAGCAAGCCACTGCCACCACCTCTTACCTCACCAACTCCTCAGCCTGAAAGGGCTGGAGTTCCTGTCTTCTCCCGCCTTATTTACATTCCTTTCTCTGCCCAGCCATATCACGTCTTATCTCAACCTTCCTAGTGCTGGGATTAAAGGTGTGTGATCCCAAGTGCTGGAACTGAAGGTGTGTGCCACCACTGCCTGGCTCTGTTTCTCTTTTAGACTAGATTAATCTCATGTAGCCCAGTATGGCCTTGAACTCACAGAAATCCAGATGGATCTCTGCCTCTGCCTCCCCAGTGCTAGGATTAAAGGTGTGTGCCACCACTGCCTGGTCTCTATGGTTAATCTAGTGGCTGTCTTTGCCCTCTGATCTCCAGGCAAACTTTATTTGTTAAAATTATAAACAAAATATCACCACATGCCATAGCCCTGTTCTAACATTTTTCTATTGAAAGATAAACTGAAACTGTCAACTCACACAGATATCCTTCTGTCATTACAACTCAAAGGATAAGTACACCATGCTGCTGTGGATATTGCTCTGTATAAATAAAATGTTGATTGGCCAGTAGCCAGGCAAGAAGTATAGGCGGGACAAGCAGAGAAGAGAATTGTGGGAACAGGCTGAGGAGGAGATGCCAGCCTGCCATCCATGGTACAGCATGTAAAGGCAACAGGTAAAGCCATGGAACACGTGGCCACATATAGATTCACAGAAATGGGCTGAGTTTAAGTGTAAGAGCTAGTCAGTGGTAGGCCTGAGCTACTGGCTGAGCAGTTTAATTAATATAAGCTTCTGAGTGATTATTTTATAAGTGGTTGCGGGGTCCGTGGGTCTGGGCAGAACTACAGAAAACTTCAGCTACACCACACAATGGAAGTTTCCTCAACCACAACGTGCCTAGACCGCCTGGCCTTTGTGCCATCTATTTTCACACAGAATTTGAAAATCACGACTGAAAAATAGCTCACCTCTTACTTGTTCTTTAAGACAACTCTAAGCGGATGCTACTCCATGTCAAAAGCTGTCTCTCATTTTCTACACGCAAACTGCCCACAGTTCTTTGGAACATGCGGCTTATTCAAAATGAGATGGGATGGCAGATGGTTAATCTCTGATGCAAAATTTCCTTATTAAAGACAAAATTTTAGAATAGCAGTAAGAAGCTAAATATTATTATTCAAATGGGATGTGAGATTTGTAGAAAGGAATAAAATTAGAGGACCAGAAAAGGCAGCGATAAATTGAGAAGCAACTGATGGAGTTTTCTACTTACAATACGCTCAGAAAGCAGCCAAGTCAGGAGTCTTGGAGTTTCAACTATAACTCAGGTTGTGTGTGTGTGTGTGTGTGTGTGTGTGTATGTGTGTGCGTGTGCGTGTGTGTGTGTGTGTGTGTGCGTGTGCGTTTCCATGAGTATTGCGAATGCATCAGGTGATAGCAAAACCTGCCAACTCTAGTGGCTGTTTCTCCACAAACCAGATCCTAGGTTAGCAAATCAGGAAGTGACAGGACGGCTATGGTTAGATTTGAGTCTTGGAAGGACTCCCCCTGCCAGCACTGCAGAGAAACTTCTGGAAGGGAAAGACACTAGTGAAACCTCCTACAGCCACGGTAATATTCTAGGAAAGCAAAGCCAGGAGACAATGAATGGAGAACGTCTGGAGAGGTAAATTCAATCGGCATTACGACATCTGGGCTGAGGTAGGTAGAAAGATGGGCGTGAAATTAGGATGACAAATCGCTACTGTGGCAGTCTTAGTGCTTCCCGCTGTTTTCAGGTACATCGTGATCTTCCGAGGCGCTCAGACGTGAAGCTTAGTGGATAGGAGTGTCCAGCTTTCCCAACTAAGAGTAAAGGAAATAGCTAATATTCAAACAGTATGACTGAGGACCATCACTTTCTCCCCGTGATGTACTTCTAGGCAGCTGTCGTTCCTATCAGCCTTCAGTAAAAAGGAATAAACATCTTATTCATTTATATGGAACTCCCACCCCATATCTGCCACACCTGGCACTCTAGAAAGCAGCCAGTTCTGCACCCCAGGTAGTCCTCCAACAGAGGGGCCCACTGACCTGAAAGTCCTCATGCAGAAGGTTCAGGGCCCCGGTGGGCCCTTGCATGGCCATTTTCACTTACATTCACAATTCTGTATTTTTCTGATTTTAAGAAAGGAACCCAGCATTTTATATGTCAGGTCCAACACCTGAATTGTCCTCTCCCTCCGTGGCTGTGTAAGTCACTTCTTCCTACACGGGGAGAAGAAAGACGCTGTCTCCTGCCTCTCTGGTCTAGTTCACACTGTGCCACACCGGTAAGCCGGGTTTTTTCAGTCGTAACTCTCCAGTGACAGAGTGTCATTTAGGTATGGACAAAGGCAGAAATCATGCTGTGTCCATCTAAGGAAGATGCTTAGATCATTGTACACAAGTCATGACCAGATGCAGTCATTTCCAAGTCAGCCCAGACTCTGGGATGAGTGCCAGGCACCAGACTCAGTCTTCCCCTGCCAGGTTTCCTCTAAGAGTCATCTGTGGTTCTTAACACTGGTTGACCTTAGACCAGAACACTTCAGTAATCAAAAACACTGTAGTGGTACTGAAACTTGAAGCATCGGGGTCTCCTTATTCCTTGTTGTTCAAATCTAAGATGGTCTTTTAATTAAAAAAAAAAAACAAAAACAAAAACAGAAATACCCAGAGCCAGATATCAGAGTGAAAGATGAAAGATCAGAGAAGCAGAACAGCCAGCCACTAGTTCTTACCTCTATGAAATCCTCAGCCTAAAGAGAGGGAGTTCCTGTTTCCTCAGGCCTTATATACCTTTCTCTGATCTGCCATATTACTTCCTGGGATTAAAGGCATGTGTGCTTCCCAGGCAAAGGCATGAGATCTCAAGTGCTGGGATTAAAGATGTGTGCTACCACTGCCTGACCTCTACATCTAATCTAGTGGCTGACTCTGTCCTCTGATCCTCAGGCAAACTTTATTAGGGTACACAATATATCATCACCTTCCTCCCCAGCTTCTTTGGCCCCCATGAAGTCCCATTAACTTCTTTCCTAAGAAGACATCAAGTGTATTAGCCTGGAAGGGAAGACAGGCGTGCACCATCTGCCCAGAACGCAAGCTCCATTGGTTTTTTAGACACTATTTCTGCATAAAAATCAACCATTGTTTATCTTACATCAATACAAATGAAATGAGTCATTGCAGCTTTTTTCCCTTAGTACAAAGAGAGACGATTTCAATCATATGTCTCCCTAGATATGAATATGCATTTGGTTTTGGTTTTTTTGTCTGCTGTTTTTTTGTTTGTTTTGTTTTTTCTGAGACAGAGTTTCTCTGTGTAGCCCTGGCTGCCCTGGAACTCACTCTGTAGATCAAGCTGGCCTTGAACTCAAAGAGGCCTCTTGCTTTTCGAGTGCTGGGATTAAAGGTATGTCCACCACCACCCACACATGTTTGTAAGCTTCAAATAGCATGATCTCATTTTTATACTCTCTCTCTCTCTCTCTCTCTCTCTCTCTCTCTCTCTCTCTCTCTCTCTCTTTCTCTCTCCTCCACACACACACACACACACACACACACACACACACCTTCGACTCTTAAAATTACACTTCATTGAAATACCCTCAAACAAGCCCAATGTGGTGGTATTGTGTTCCCCAAAATATTGTGCACCTTAATAAACTTATCTGGGGTCAGAGAACAAAAAAGCCACAAGATACTTAGGCTAGAAAATGTTAGCACACGCCTTTAATCCTAGCATTCCAGAGACAGAAATCCCTCTGGATCTCTGTGAGTTCAAGGCCACATTGGAAACAGCCAGGCGTGGTGACTCACGCCTTTAATCCCAGAAAGCAGCCTTTAATCCCAGGGAGTGGTGGTAGAAAGCAGAAAGGTTTATAAAGCATGAGGACCAGAAACTAGAGGCATTTGGCTGGTTAAGCATTTGGCTGGTTAAGCTTTCAGGCTTCTAGCAGCAGTTCAGCTGAGATTCATTCTGGATGAGGACTCAGAGGCTTCCAGTCTGAGGAAACAGGACCAGCTGAGGAATTGGCAAGGTGAGATAGCTGTGGCTTGTTCTGTCTCTCTGACCATCCAGCATTTCACCCCAACAACTGGCCCTGGGTTTGATTTTATTAATAAGACTCTCTAAGATTCATGCTACACATGGGCATAAACAAACCTAATTAGAAGCATTACTTGAGACACACTAGAGTCCTCTGTGCTTCCGGAACTTGAGAGATTGCTTTAGAGACTCGACCTTCCAAAAATGCTACCTTGATGTCTCCAAACTCAGAGTAGAAGTCTCTGGCTGTGGATATGCCGAACCAATTGGCCTTAGCCTAAGGTACCTGAGCAATTAGAAACGTCACAGTGACAGTGACACTCAGTGCCTCGGGGTCTCCTCCAGCACTGCCATGGCTGCTCTAAGGATAGCATACAGCCCTTTGGCTGCTGTGCCCGTGCACACGTGAACGGCAGAGATCAACGTCGGATGTCTTCTTTAATTGCTTTCCATTATATTTTTTGAGACAAGATCTCTCACGAGGCTGGAACTCATCGGACCGAGGTAGGCTAGCGATCCAGTGAGCTCCAGAGATCCACCTCCCTCCCTCTCTCTCTGTCTCTGTCTCTGTCTCTCTCTCTCTCTCTCTCTCTCTCTCTCTCTCTCTCTCTCTCTCTCTCTCTCTCTCCCCTCCCCCCAACTCCTTCCAGGCCCAGCTTTTCCATGGGAGCTGGGGATCTAAACCCAGGTCCTCTCGCTTGCACAGCAAACACTTTGCCGACTGAGCCGTCTCTCCAGTCTCTGTATTTGACATTTGAGAAAACATATCCAGGGGCCTTCATCTTTGCTTCACCTTGAAAAAGCGAAGTTGGGTTGGCTTACGCACCATTTTAAAAACTCATATATAAGTGAATTCTGTCTATTTTTACGTGTGTGCCCTTCGATGAGTTTTGGGGTGGTTTTTTGTTTTTGTTTGTTTGTTTGTTGCACCAAATGTGTGCAAGAGCTGGTGGAGGCCTGAAGAGGAACTGATGTTACAGATGATTGTGAGCTACCATGTGGGTGCTGGGCAGTAAATGCTCTTAAGAGCTGAGCTATCTTTCCAGTCTCTTGATAAGTAAATTCTTAAATAAGTTAAAGTTCTGAAAGAACAAGCAGAAAAATTCTCTAAGAACTTTGTCTTCAATAATTAAGAGAAAAATTACTCTATAAACCGTTAAAACATGTCATAAAATCACTTGAAAAAGTCTAAAATGTGTTTTAACTTTTACCATATCCCAGCACTACTCTAAGATCTTGATATGTACTGGTTTATTTAGCCTACAGAATCCTATGCAGTCAATACTACTCTTCTGAATTTAGGAATTGGTAAACTGAGGCACGATGCAGTTAGGTAAACTTTCCAATGGCCATATACGGCAGAGCCTAAGTTTGATCTGATATTAGAGATCACACTTACCTGCTTAACTCGATTGTGCAGCCTGAAAAGTCACCTCCCCACACTACAGGCTCCTCCTGCCCTTCTCAACCTCCAGCATCTCTGAGAGCAGAACTTGTATTCCAGTCATGGACACTGGAAGCCCTGCTTTGGAGAAAGCACAGTCGAAACAAGAATGCTCTGTTTTCGCAACATTGATCTTAAATGTGTCACCTAGAAATGAAGATTCACCACACAGTTGAAAACAGCCAACAGCAGAGCGAGTCCAAACCTAACAGAGGTTAATTCTCCAGGAAACAGAGAAAATACAGGGATTAGTGTGCCTAATTCATATTGTCAAAGACTCAAGGGGTGGTGTTCATACTGACACACAACTTTGAGTTCTTGATTTATGCTATTATACTCCAAGTTTTTAGAGCCCATTCACGTAGATAAGGGAGAAAAATGCTGTTACTAATTTGTCCTCCATCTCCCCTCCTCCTCCTCTTCCTCCTGCTCCTCCCTCTCTTTCTCCTGCTCCTCCTTCTTCTTTTACACTTTCCTGGCAGCTGGGGTAGTGGCAGAGTTCGTCATGGGGGTGAGAGGAGGGGGTCTAACATCACCAGGTGTAGTCTTATTTACTAGGAAGCGTCACCTGAAGGCGCGGAAGAATGGATCAGGCAACAGGTCTGCAGCGCAGATGAATTAGGAAGAAGGGCTTTCCTCCCCTAGGAAGCAGCTGAGTGCTCCTGCATCCTGGGTAGCCATAGTCCTGAAATGTGGCTGCCTTTTTTTTTTCTAAAGGATACCTGTGGTACTCTCCCCCGTGAACTAGTGGTTTACTTTTCTTTGGAATTCATCTAGAGGGTCTTGGCCTCAGGTTAGTGCTGCTGCTTTTCTGATTTGATTGTCAGTATTCCTGTCCTAATGAAATTACCAGCCTCCTTATTGCTGCCTTGCTTCATCCAGTTCTTGGTATTAGTTCCCTCTGTTTCTAGAGTTTCAGTAGATCTTGTCATCTTGGTGGTTTTATCATGCACATATTTTATGTGTTCCCTAGCTCTTGTCAATCTAAGATCATTGATTTTTGTCTTCTGGGTGAGCCCTGACATTCTGGTTAGCTGTTGGTGACTTTTCTTGCTTGACAGTACCCATGTAGCTTACACACACACACACACACACACACACACACACACACACTGCAGACATAAGAGAATTGTGTATTTGCACAGACACTGAGTTTAGTCCCCCAGCTTATTTATTCTCCTTGAAGTTATTTAAACTAGTCATTTACTGAGGTAGTTTTAATCTCTTGCTTCAAGCCACAGTATTATTAGCCTGCTCTGAAAATGTTACATTGACCTTTTTCATATAACTTAAATCCTATTTACATTTCTGAATAATCAATTAAGGTTAGATTTTCTGGTAAAAGTTAAACCAATTGCAGCAATTCAATATCTCCCCCCCACCCCAGAGATGGTCATTGCCATCAGCTCTTATTGAATGCTTCCAGAGCTCTATTTACTATGCAGAATAAAAGCATATTAAAACATACATACCATCATACTATTTATTTCCTCTTTTAGAAAAGGGGGGACTGGGAGTAGAGCCCACTGACAGAGTGCTTGTCTAGCATACACAAGGTCTTGGGTTTGATCTCCAGCACCACATAATCATCATAATAATATAATACTAAATAATAATAATAAGGCAGTAGAAATTTACCTCTGATTAGAAAATAGCTTCATTCTTTCTCTTTGTTACCCAGTGTGGACTACAATGTCTGTGTGTTAGTTTTGCAATTGTGACATTGCTCAAGCAGTGCCCTTGTGAATCTCTATCTGTTAATGTTTCACTAACCAAGAAGTTGCTGGCTGTAGAGTATGTACAACGAGAACACCCCACAAAGCACGTTTACACCTCCATCAAGTTTCTCTACCTTGGGGCGGTTTAAATTTACAGTTGTAAATTCTCTCAAGAGATGGATATCATAAATTTTATATGGTATAGAATATGCAAAGTATTACATATGTTTGGGGAGAATCTATGTAATGTTATACTTAAAAAACAGAATAATGTTTATCTCCAGGGAGGAGAAGGAAAGCTGAATAAAAGAGGAGTACATGGGAGACGTTAGTAATATTTAATTTCTAAATGGAATTAGTAGGTTCAGGGGTTCTTTTACACATCTTATGGTCAAAATAAAATCAGATGTAAGCAGGTAAAAGATGAAATTTGATCTACTTAATTCCAAGTGTGGGAGCCAGAGATACCTATTTTCAGGTAAACGAGAGCATAGCTGTGCAGGAGCAGCGTCAGCCTGGGAGGGAGGCCAGTGAGGATGAAGCACTCCAGGGAAGATAAAAGCTGGACCCAAGAGCCTGTTACAGACACGTTCACAAATCATGGCAAAAGCCAGGAACTGTGATCTCCAAAGCGAGTACCAGGAAAGGCGCAAAGCTACACAGAGAAACCCTGTCTCGAAAAAAAAACCAAAAAAAAAAAAAAAAAAAAAAAGCCAGGAACTGGTTCCTACTTCCCACGCAATGACACTTTCCAGAAACATCGCCCGAAACGTTGTATTTACTTAAGTCTATTGTTCTGTGTGTACTCAAATTTAAATGAAATTAATAAGCCATTAACATCTCAGCCTATCGTGTCTAACGTGCTAAACCCTAAGAGCAAAGGTGTCTTTAATGAGACTGGGTATTTTAGCTTTCATTTTGTGGTGCTTTGGGTCATCAAAGAACTCTGAGTAAGTGAATGTTTCTGCAAAATCACAACCTACAAGCAAATAACTACAGGTACCTATTGACTACATTTTTCTTCCTCTGGACCAATCCATCCTAGCAGAAGGTCTTTTTCTTAGCAGAATTTCCCAGTGGAGCTTAATCTGTCAGATTAAAAGAGAAGCCAAACGGAACAGTAGTAACACAGATTTCCAGTAGCCCAAGGGCTCTTGCCAGACTGAAAAGGCTGACCTCATTCCTGGATCAGGCTCTAACTTAAATTTCTTAGTCATAGGACATTTCAGAGAGTTTTACATAAAATATGAGACCCACATTCTACCCACACTTGGTCTCGATAGAGACTCGTGTTGTGACATTTACTTTTTTCTATTACACGCACTGGAAATGAATAATTTCCAAATGGAAATTTGTAACTTGCCAAACTTTATCAACAAAAAAAGAAGAAAGAAAAAGGAAAAGAAAAGGAAAAAAATAAAGAAAGGAAGGGAGAAGGGAGGGAGGGAGAAAGGAAGGAAGGAAGGAAGGAAGGAAGGAAGGAAGGAAGGAAGGAAGAAAGGAAGGAAGGATAAGCACAGCTGGGTTCTGGTTGGATTCGATGGTAAAGGAATTGACTCCGAACATAACCTCAGGAGTCTCAGAAGCCAGCTGGCATCCCATGGGGGCGACCCTTCCAGAGCCAGCAAATCACCAAAAGACATGTACATTCACGCTTACCGCCTTTAGAATATATTAAGAGTGTGATTTTAAGATTAAAATGCAAGTCCACAAATATGTAGCTAAGAACACAAGCTTCTAAGATGAGCCAAAACAAAAAAATTAGTGATGTTTGTCTCCTGGCCATTCCTTCTGACAGGAGATTAGAGCTGCCCGGAGATTTCTTTGACTCGTGACTCACTTAATTCATTTAGACATTACCAGCAGAGCAAGCTATGACAACACAGATCCATCTCAACAGGCTCACTCCTGACTGTTCTAATAAGGAGGAAAAAAAAATAATTGAATTGCCGATTTTGATTTTTTTTTTACATGCACTCAAGCATTTGAGTATTTGGCTTAATATATCAAATAAATCTAAAACTCTTTATTACATTATATTCTTGCCCTTAGTAATGGGAAATAACTCACAGAATTAACTCCAGGTATCCTTTTAATTTGAAATATATTTTGTATGTTTTTTAAAATTTGATTTTTAAATTAAAACCTTACCACCTGATTGGGAGTACATACTAATCTAAGTACACAGCTTCAATATGGATAAACGAATCTCCTGGTGTTAAACATAGCTCGAGTTAACATATTTCTCAAGAGGCATCTGCTGCAGCAGGGAGGAGCCTACCTCTGTTAGAGAGGGCCCTATGCAGAGACGAAGCAGCAAGCTCCTGTCCGTAGACGTGTTTACTCAGCCCTATACTGTTGTCTAAAACATCCAATGAATAAGAACAAAGAATGGCATAACACACACACACACACACACACACGAAAATGTCATCATTGAAACCCATTACTTTGTATACTAACTTAATTTGTTTTAGTCAACCAACAGATCCTGTAATGGTGGCTCTAGCATGTGACTCCAGCCCTGGGGAAGTCAGGGGGTGCCAATTAGGAGTTCAAGGTCACGTTCAGCCATAGATTTCAAGGCTAAAGCTAGCCTGGATATTCAAAATAAATTAATCAATCAAGAGAGTCCACAGGGTTGCAACTCTCTTGAAAATTTGCAAGAATTACTGATAGGAAACCTCATTTCTAACCCATAGGATAGAGAATCTCAACCTGTGGGTTCTGACTCCACTAAGGTCAAATGACCGTCCACAGTGGTCCCCTAAGACCCTCAGAAAACACATTACAATTCATGACAGTAGCAAAACTATAGTTATGACATAGCAACAAAAATAATTTATGGTTGGGGGGGGTCACTCCAACAAGAGGAACTGTATTAAAGGATCAGGGCCTTAGGAACTGAGAACCACTGCCCTAGGAGATGAGTAGCATTCATCTGCTCCTAAAGCTTATAGTGATGTGGGTGGTGTTCCCACACTGCCTTCATTTGGATTCCCTGCCTGCCCCTTTTAACAGGTTTGGGACTTCTGGGGCAGAGAATAACACACACCACTTAGAACAAAACTACTGTACACTGCTGTGGGATAGTCTGTATGTCAAATGTGTTGCTGATTGGTCAATGAATAAATCACTGATTGGTCAGTGGCCAGGCAGGAAGTATAGGCGGGACTAACAGAGAGGAGAATTGAGAGAACAGGAAGCTGGGTGAGGGAGACACTGTCAGCCGCCATGATGAGAAACAGCATGTGAAGATGCCAGTAAGCCACGAGCCATGTGGCAAGGTATAGATTAATAGAAATGGATTAATTTAAGCTGTAAGAACAGTTAGCAAGAAGCCTGCCACGATACAGTTTG